CCCTTTCTTTTCCAGCTCATATTTAAAAAAAACAATGAAACTGATAGGAAGCAAACCTTAGACATAAATCGCTAGAACATTTCCATAACACAAAAATTCAAGCCTCAACAGGTAAAAGGGGACTTGAAATCATCTCCAGTTTCAGCAGCACATAAGTTTCTTCTTGATAGCTTAATGGGACACAACCTGGGTATGTCTATCGCATATTTTTTACATGCATATCTGAACCAGTTCACTCATTCCATGAAACTATCCAGACAAAATCTAGTTTCAGTTCAGATGTTATTTAACCATTTTAGTACAAGAATGAAGACAAAATAAGCCAGTTGCTCAGCTGGGCTTATAAGCCAGGTACAACTTCGTTTTAATTTAGCTAAATGGCCCTTAGGTCCAAGCTATCTTGCAGTCCAATGCTTCAAAGCATGAAAGAATGAAATGAGTCTACCTGCAAAATATCATGCAGATGGAGCTTATGGACAGTTTATTTCAAAAAGAGTTTCACCTTTGTAGTGAGTCCTATCCTTATTCTTTTAACATCACTCCTATTTAATAAAAGGAAATTGTTCTCAGCATAACTGGGTCTTCAGCATTGGCTCCATGGAAAGTGTATTGTTATCTTATGTTCTGTATGGTCAGAAAAGCTTCAGATCTTCTCTGTGACTCTTGGGATAAAACAGCAGTGGGGCAGCATCTTGATTGTAAAGCTGGAATGGGACGTGGGAACCCCTGCTCCACAAGAAACCTCTCCTAAAAGCCTGGAGAAACACACTCCTACCTTGATTTCAGTTTTTATTTTGCAAATATAAGAAAAATACTTACTTGATTTACAGAAACAGCTTTTAGCTGTGTAAAGAGATTGTAGGCTTTCAAAGACTCTAGGTATACATAAGAACTATAGGTAAAAAACAAGATTTCATCCCTGTGCCAGGAACAAATACTTCCAGCAGAAAAAAAGATTCTGAAAAATAGATGAACTTCTCAGCGAGCACTTCCAAATTTGTATTTTTTTTTTTTTTTAAATGTCTTTCATCTCAACTGACAGGATAATTCATCATAATTAAAAAGATGACCTAGGTTAGTGAGGCTTGCTCACCAATGGAGTTGTGAGATTAATCTTTAGATGGACTTACACACGTATATATAGCAGAGTTTTTAAGGCTTATGGGAGCAAATGCTTCCACTGAACACAAACAGTGATAATGACACACTCACCTTTTTTCTGACTAAAGAAGAAATCTGATCAAATAAACTACAGACCAGATTCTCAGCTGTATAATTTTGACAATTCTAACAATAATTGACTGTCATGAACAGTTGTAAAAACACTCAGTTCATGGAAGCATATATATTTTTCTAAAAATATTAGCAAACACTTACAATACTGGCCATTAAAAGGAATTTATTATCAAAGTAATATTTGGAAATTAGACATAGCTGTACATATGCAGCACTCCTTTGTACCTGCTATTCCCTTTAAATATAAAGTAGAATATTATAAAAGCATCCAACTGTCACCGAGGGTTTTCAGAGCTCCAGAACTGGGGCTGCAACATCTACCAATGCTCTACTCATCCCATGTTCTCTTTATAATTAATGCAGAGAAACAGGCATTTTTAAGGTGCAATTCATTTGGCTTGTTTAAGGTATCCACTTTAGGATGTAATGAATCATACGTTAGACTTTATTGACAGTATTAATGAAAATTCCTTAACTCTAAAGCATGCCCATGGTGACTGACTGAGACAAATTGAGCCCAAGGTGCCTAATGTGGTGGAATGGTACGATATGTTTTCCATTCCTATTTTTGCAAAGGCTTACTGTCTGCTTATGAGCAATTATATTTTTGAGAGTAAAGGCTCCTAAAATTAATTCATTTGGATTCCTGTGGTCTGAGGACCTTCTCAGTAAAAGATAAACAAATTTTGAACATCACAATGATTTTTTTAAAGAAAATGATAAAGGCATTCAGCTTTGGTAACACTGGTTTTAATTTCCCTGTGTGTCAGCTGTTCCATATATAACATGAAAATTATAACACTGATCTTATTGTGGCCTGGTTTGCCTTTATTCATTCAGGCTTAGAAAACGCTTTGATAAACTCAAAGGATACAGATGCTAAATATGACTTTATTAGCTATGTTATTCCTCTTTGCCTCTACTTGTAACTGAGATTCATATATTGCTGTCATCTATTCTTAGACATTTTAATCTCAATTTGAATTTGGTCCCATATTCATTTCTCCTTTCTAACAGAATAGGATGTGCCCATTTTTGTGCTTTGAACTCTCTGAATTTTTACTTCATACCTTTGTGGTTCAGAGTATATCCTATAATGCCATTCTTTGCTCTGTATGTAACGTGGAAGACGTTAGCCCTCCATATGCTAATAAACATTCAGTATCACAAGCCATCATTATATTAAATTTGAGACACTTTTTTTTTTATCAGCAGATGAACAATCATGATGATTAAAAATGCTTCTCTTCTCAAGGGCTTGCACAGTATTTTACATTCTCTGGCATGTTGATTAGTTATGTTGATTGAAAATGAGTGAAAAACAGAGACAACTTATTAGTTTAGTTAGCTTCTACTTACATTAATGCAAATGCCTGGATACATGCCCATTAAGAGTACTTGGAAGATCAGAAGTTGAAAAGTGATTCCTCTGTTTCTCATTGCTGACAATTTGGAAATGTGCATATTCACAAATGGCTGTTGAAGCATGCACAGTCTCCACAAGCAAAGGCTGCTGCATGGGAATACAGTCCAAATCAGAGCACCCTCAGGAGCAGGGGAGTCACACTTGGCTGGTGGTTCGCATGGCACCCTCAGTAGGTTGGCACAGCAGGTGTTTTGGCAGCAGCAGTATTTATCAGTGAGAGCAGCTAGCAGCAGCTCCATTACTGCCACAACTAACAACACATGTCTTTCTTTCACTGCCAGCGAGGCACTGATGGAAATAAGGGAGGGCACATAGTTGGTTTTCTAAAGGACAGCTTTGTTTTTTCTTCACAATTTGTTTATTTAAAGTGCCGCCTCAGAGGGGCTTTTTAGACTGTAAAATTGAATTTCTTGTAATTATTATTTTTTTTGCTAATTTCAGTGTTTACCAAGGAGCTTCACACTGAATAAAAAATGCCCATTGTCTGAGATGTGTAGATTTAATAAGAGGCATTAGTGGCCCATAGGGGGACAAAAGAAATATTCTCATGATTCCTGTTGCACATTAGGAATTGCAAGGCTAAGAGCAGTAAAGTGATTTGCCCAAGATGATGTAAATAGTGCCAGGAACTGAATCCAGATCTCCTGAGTCATAGCCCAATGCCTTAATCAGCTGACCATGTTTCCAAGCATTTGGCTTTACAAAATCTGTTGGCCTGATTTACTGGCAAAGTCTTAAAAGAGTGATTTTTTTCCCACTACAAAAGTCAATGACCTAAAACAACGAAAAAAGGAATATTTTTTCCCCCTTTTTTTTTTTGATAACTGTATAAATATCCCATCTGAGTAATTAATACAATACAAATGCTGAAGACAAAGGATGGTAATAGAAATGAGGCTTACAGGTAGTGCAGTATCTCTTCCAGCACTGCTGCAAGACTCAGGTGACAATGACTTGCCATAAGGAACTCTGCATTAGGATGTAAGACAAGGATCTTATCACTGAGAAAACATCTGCTGCTTGTCAGCTGCCACTTAGATGGTGGGAAACGGCTAGGAAAGAGAATGAAGAAGTTTGCTTGTGATTTCTAGGCTGCTGAGTATCTGCTTTCTTTTTCCTAATGCTTACTTCTGTCTGAAGGAAAAAAAAAGCAGCTTTTGACCTGACTTTGTTCTAATTCTGTTGAATAGACTTCAAATCATGGCAGAGTATATACTAAATTCTCCCTGGATAAGAACAGAATCATTAATTGTGGTAGTTAACACTCAGAATTGATGAGAATGGAGTTTAAAGCTATTTTATAAACATTTTACTTACGTTTTCTATCTGAACTTCCCATATTTCATGTTTATAATTTTTATTCTGGTCATTCACATTTTGAATCATCTCTGAAAATACATAGGTAGACTAAAATATATTATTCTGCTAAGGTGGGCTTTGGATAATTGGTACAAGGTGGGCTTTGGATAATTGGTATGGTAACGTTACCTATTCCTGACACTTCAGAGTTAATGTAGTTGAAATGCTGGGTTACTGAAAAAGTCAGTGCATATATCTACGTTTATACACAGAGATTTGCTGAATTAGCAGTAGAAGATTCAAAGGATGAAAATGGATATTTCATTTAACTGTGCAAAACAAGCTGAATTATGTTATTCAATGCTTAAACTGAGTAGAGCCATTTAACTAGGACGCAATTTTGCTTTAAAATACGGGTCCAAGTTGTGTATGGGTGTGTTTGTTTTTGTTTTTTCAACACAGCAGTCCAACAGTAACATCAAAGAGAAGAGATGAAGAAACACTCAAACCATGCCTTCTGCAATCCTCTCTTCAGTCCACCAGTTTTTATCCCTTACGATTAGCAGTGGCAAACAATCTAGCCTCCAGAGAAGGGGTCCTGCCTGGAGAGGAAGCTCATTTTACGCATGTCACTGGTATGCAGTACAGATGCATTGCAGACTTAATCATTAAACCTAATCAATCTTTCTGTTGTGCCATCCATAGGCTTCTTTTTGGGACACCTACTCCTGCTATTCTTCATTTTAGAGATAGGTTCATGGATGAGTATCAGTAGATAGAAAGAATGAAAATAGATCCCTTCTTTTTTTTTCCTTTTTTTTTTATTGTTCTGTTGAGAAGTCATCAGTGTACCAAAAACAGCACACATCTGCAAGTCTTCAACACATATATTTCATTGTCTCCCACTTTAACCCGCTTATTATATTTACTACTACTAAAGCATCTACCATGGGAAATGCTTCATTTTGTAACTGTAGCATTCAGGCCCTTGGATAAGCTCCCTCTTCTGAGATCCTGTTGAAATCTGCAATGAGAGATAGAAAACCCACAAAATAGCAACCCAGATAACTTTAATGGAAAGATTAATTACTTCCTCAGCTCTACCTAAGGTGATTGGTAGATACAGCTCCTGTAGAAAAAGGTTATATTTTTATTTTATTTATTTATTTTCAATAAATATTTTCAATAAATAAATAAATAAAAGACCTCTTTCATTAGGAGGTCTTATTCAGCAGGCAACTATCAGGCCAAGTGATTACCAATATCTCTGCTTTTTCAAGGTAGCTTGCACGTGTTGAACCTTTTTATGCGTGTAGTTTCCTGAAGTCCTGATGAAAATACTTCATCAGGCTGTTGGTGGTTAAAGGAAAGCTGAGAGAATTTTCAAGTTTTTTAGAAAATAAGGTGATGGGAGAGCTTTACGATTTCAATATATAAACAAATCCTGAGTCTGGGCTAGAAAGAGCTTTGGTTAGTTTTGCACATGCTTAGCATGATAAGGGGGAGGGGAACTACAAAATGCTCTATTTCAGCCATGAGAATGGCTTTCTTATTAAATTTTGAATGATTAAAAGTCCAGTAGAATAAAATACTATGAAATGGAGTATAAAACAAGCTGGAGATACTTTAAGTAAAAAGAACTTCAGACCCATCTGTGATAGAAGAGAATGCAAAAATAATCTCATGTCATCTGCCGACTTCAAACCAGAATTTTCTAAGAGGTTAACATAAGCAGAAGGAAAATCAGAAAGATCATTACACTGGTATTGTCTTGCACTTTCTGGTAACATATAAGAGAATACAAAGAGAAGAGGCCCAAAAGCCATGTTCATGTAATCCTGAGTTAGCAGACAGTAGATCAAACTCACACCTAAAGAGTATGCTTCTCTGATAACAGTAAAAAAGAGCATTGTGAATTAGTATGAATATTAAACATGGCAAGATAAAAACACATCTCACTCCTGAGAACAAAAATATCATTGTCTAATTTCCTCTGAAATGTGTCATAAATGTGCCTTTTATTCAGTATTTTGAAGGAAAAATGAATCATATTACACTTCTCAGTAGTATGGTTATGCAATTCAGTGGGGGATGAAATATCATGATTTAATAAATAGGATAAAGATTAGTAAAATAATCTAATCACTGCTCTCTTATTTTTAGTCTATCACTGGGGATGGAAAGAAGCAGGAGAGGAAGATTAATTTGAGGTTTTGTGCAGATATGGGTCAGTAGCCCACAGCTTTCCTGCGTTTTATAGGTGATAACATGCTTCAGTAAAGAGAAGATCACTGGCAACGAGACAGTGATTGCAAATATAATGCACGCTTCCTTGAGCAAGCAAAAGTAGGAGCAAATTGCTCAGTGCAAGTGGCACCCTGTCGTGGAGGACAAGTCCACTCTGCTCCTCGGAAAGTGTGTGGGGCATTTCTACAGTGACTTGTGCAGAAGCAATCCCAAGTGGTGTTTGACCTGGAGTAAGCAATCTTTAGGGCCAGCTTTGGGTGACCCAGCTGATCTTTGAAAAGCCTGTGTTACAAGTGCTCCTATGAGGTCTAGCTAGACTGTACTCAGCTATCTTATATTCCTTCAGAGTGATCTGTCATGGACACAGTTAGAGAGAGGCAAGCTGAACTCAGAGAGGTTTCAAGAGTTAGGTGTGTCCTAGATTTCTGAGAGCTCCTAAAATCCTATAAGTTCAAGCTAAGATACAGCACCACAAAAATGTAGAAAGGGACGTAAATATGAGGGCATTGGCACAACAAAGGTGCTCACTATGTTGTGAATAAGCAGGCAGAAGGAAGGGTTGTATGGCAGAATGGCTTCATTTACGTTAGAGCTAGAGCTCTCCTAACAAGCCTGATCCCCTCTGAGGTCCATCAGGCAACAAGTGCAAGCTAGGGTAAGTAGGGTATATGCAAGACTTTGTCTCATTGTATATTTTTCAGAGGAGCATGTTATCTGTTATCTGGCCTAAGCCACTATTCCAGGCATTAGGCATGTGGAATTAATTACAGACATTTGATGGTACCCAAGTGAGTCAGTGATTTCAGCTGTCACATATGGTCCCTTCTGCTTTCACACAGTGAAGAGATACTACCTCAGTCTGAACCTGATCTCTCAGCAGTTTTAACCTCCTAGGTTAAAACTATATACACACACTTCCTTTGCGCACCTATTTTCCACCAATGCACCCATGTGGAGAATCAGATGTAAAACCTGCCATGGCTCTCTCACGTGAACTGTCATTTACAGAGGGCATCTTTTCATGTCTAAAATATGCCTGTAGATGATCTCATTCATGCATTTTTCTATTTTGAGGTTTTCATTGGTTGTTCACTTCCCAGCCTCAGGTTGCCATCAAGTCTAGAACTCACTGCAGTCCTCACGTGTTTATCATGCTATGTGTTTAGCCTCTGGTCTAAAGATTAAAGGCGCCTTCTGGGTTCATTCCAGTCCTAAACATGTAACAATACAACACAGTGACAGTCTCTGTCACTGTCCCAGTAATGACAAGGACTCACGAGGGCAGGTTGCTGACTCATAAAGGACACCTAAGTACATCTAAAAGCAAATTCAGCTCTTAGGAGGAAAATTAAGCTAAATAGAGAAAAACAATTTGTGGTTTGAAATTCTAGTAAAAAAATCGGTGTTGATCGTGAATTCCCTGAATTTAGGGTAAGGATGGTTTCTGTCCTAAGCAGTATCTGCAGCGTATCTAGGGAGATACTGGCAGAATTCTGCAGGCACAGTTTCAGTACTAGGTCAGAACAGCTGCATTAT